GAAAGAGTTAAAAGTGTCTGAAATTTCCGAAAGGGAAGCGATTGAAACTTTTGTTCCTCCAGGGTGCCGGTGGTTCTCAGTATCCTTCTCTCTAAATCTCCGCCTTGGGGTTTTGGAGTTTTGCTGTTACTGTTTGCCACTCTGATCCCTGGGGCTTCGTCAGCACCAGTGGTCACCTGACTATTCTCCCCAAGGAAGGTAGGTCCCTCGTGGGCTGTTATAGCCTTGGGTTTGGTTCGTTCAGGTGTCTGCTGAGGTGTGTTTTCCGCGTTCGTCGGCTCCACCTTCGAGTACCGTCGTTCTGCGGTGCTGTCCCTAGCGGTTTCAACCGACCCGTCTTGAAACACGGATCAAGGAGTCTAACATATGTGCGAGTATGCGGGCGGCAACCCTGTATGCACAATGAAAGTGAGGGTAGGGAGAGGTTTTATTTTTGCATTTCTCGCACCTACGACCGACCACGAACTCTGTGAGAGGTTTGAATTGTAGCACATCTGTTAGGACCCAAAAGATGCTGAACTATGCCTGAGTAAGGTGAAGTCAGGCGAAAGCCTGATGGAGGCTCGTAGCGATACTGACGTGCAAATCGTTCGTCAAACTTGGGTATAGGGGCGAAAGACTAATCGAACCGTCTAGTAGCTGGTTTCTTCCGAAGTTTCTCTCAGGATAGCTGGAGTTCTATTAGTTTTATCAGGTAAAGCGAATGATTAGAGGCCTCGGGGGCGCGTTGCCCTCGACCTATTCTCAAACTTTAAATGGGTAAGATCCAGTGGTTACTTTATTGAACTGCTGGGGTTAATATGAACTCCAAGTGGGCTATTTTAAGCAGAACTGGCGATGAGGGATGCTCCTAACGCTTGGTTAAGGTGCCTAAATACTCGCTCCTCAGACACCATAAAAACAGGGGCACTGCGGGGCCTTGTATGTGGGGTGGGGCGATCCCGTTTCAGGGATTGTTGGGATCGTCTCCTCCCCTGGAGGAGGTAATAATCTACCTATCTCCTCCGCCACGCTGCAGAGGCCTGTTGCTAGAGACAACAGCAGCAGCAACAACAACGGCAGCAACAGTTAGAGCAGCGGCAACAGCAACAACGAGAGCAGCTGTACCTGCTGCTACTGCTGCTGCTTGAAGAGATGCGAGCAGCAGCAACAGCAGCAAAAACACGCGGGAAGCACCAAACGACCCAAGGTGGAAAACACAAAACATCACAAACATAGCCAAAAAGGATTGCAGAACACTCCAGCCCCCATGAGTATAATTATAGACTCATGGGGGTACATATATATATATATATATATATATAT